AGTTAATGGATCATCTAGCCATGCTTGTTTGTTTTGTCCAGCGATTTGTCGAGGGCAGACACGCCTCTTCTGGAACTTGGAGCACTATCCAATATCTGAAAGTGCCAATCTTGTTTCTATTCATCGAAACATCAAGTTAGCTCTTCACCGAGTGGGAGTTCATGGTTTCCTGGAAATCCTTGCGTATGGTGGTGTCAAACCCAACCGCGACGAACATGACTTGTACGAGGCCTGTATTCATTACATGCCACCGTATAAAGGTGAATGAACTCCTATACTTAATCAATGTCTCTGTTCAGGTGATTACACTTTAATTATATATGTCTGTAATCAGTATCTCTGTTCTGATTCTTCAGGGGGTCAACTGTCGATTGCTGGTCAAATTTCTCTCGACATTGTTCGTTTCGCACAAGGATTGTATCCTCTAAGAACAGCTTTTGTGGTAATCTCAAAACATATCCCAGAAATTGAGGAGACGAAGAGGGTTCTTCGGTGTTTGCAAACGAGATATCAACACCCTGTTCTCATTGTAGACCCGACAGCACATGATGATGGTAGCTTTTTCCCCTTTGAGTCTGCAGACTCGGTGTATGCTCGTACACAATTTGTAGATGGAGGACAGTCTAGGCCACGGATTCCTCGTTCCCGTTAAGACCTCTCTCCATCTCTTGTTTGTTTAGAATTTCATCTGATCCATTCGAATAATAGTTAATGGTATCATCTATATAACCTTTGTAGAGCGTTGGAGAGAGGTCGAAGAGGCTGCGACAGGCGTCTTCTGMGATGCAAAGGATTGCCCATTCCCTGCTGGTTGGAGTGCTGATACCATCTATACGAAAATCAGATCAGCTTTTACTGAAGCGTATTGTGTTAGTGGTAACATGCCAATCTCTTCTTATGCTGATGAGATGAATAACGAGTCTTGGAACAAGCCGCCGGAATCGGAATCGGAATCCAGAATCAACCACTTAATTCTCGCAGGTGAATTCTCTTTCTTTCTCTTTTCTTATATATACATACGTATGTGATCTGTCTATGTATCATTTATGCAATCTGTCTATGTCTCTCATTTATTTTATTTTCCAGGGGATAAACCCGCGAGACTTGAGAGAATGTTTAATGACATGCTTTTATGGTTAATCCACAAATTCCTGATGATTAACTAATGATCTCTTGTGTACTTTCCATCTACATAGGTTAAAAAACTCTTCAATTAATCTTCACATTCCAGACCAAACACAAGAAGATTGACAAATAAATCGAAAAATCTAAAAACACTCATTGATCGAACCAAACCTTATTACTTCATTTCAATTCAATTTCGAAATTAGTCATCTTTAGCTCAAATTGCAACGGACCAGAGAGAAAGAGATTCTTACAGGGTCCTGAAGAACAGGTTTGGTGTCATCGATGGCTGGTCTGAAAGAAGGTTTCTGAGGTTTAACAGTTTTCTTCTCTTCGGATTGAAGAAAAATCGAGGCTTTCGTCGTCGCCGGAGTCTGTAGATTTCCCCATCCTTCTCTCTCTCTTTTTCTTCTCGCCGGAGACTCGAAATTGAGAAGATAGTCGTCAAGTTTGGAATGATTTCGCACGTGCAAAGAATTGGGCCTGTATTGGGCTTTCAGGGTTTTTTAATTTAAAAGCCCATTTTTTCAACTCGAGAGCTTTATATAAAAATTGATTGACTTGAGTCGCCGAATAAAATGCTCTTCCTTCTCTGATAAACCCTAATTCCTCTCAAAAACTTGAGAAGCAGAAAAAACATCTCTGAGGTACGATTTTCTTTTGTGAATCTTAATAGGCTTTGTTTTCTTTTATCTTCAGCTCTAAATGTTTAAGTTTCTTTCACAGGGATTAATTGAAATCAGACGACGATGTATCTTCAGTGCTATATCAACGAGAAGGGTGAGAAGGTTTACACCACTAAGGTACCTTTACTTTGCTCAATCTCGTCTCTTTTGTGTGATTTTCATTCGTTTGTGTAGTCTTGTTCTTGTGTTTATAGATTCGGAATCAAAATCTCTTCTTTTTTTTTMTTTTMTTAGAGATTGTAATCATTTGCGATAGTTCTGAGTAAAGTTACAGATTTTATAGTTTGTTTTACAAGATAGTTTCCTTAGAAGAGAGTAGTTTGATCTAAGTGTTAAACCCTTCTTAAGTTGAAAGTTATCTCAGATACATGAAGCTCTGTTTTTGTTAGTGATTGTAATAATTGGTCACATTTCTGAGGAAAGATACAAACTTTACAAGATATTTCTTCAGAAGAGAGTAGTTAGTTGTAAGTGTTATCAGTTTTGTTTGTTTAATCTTAAATTAACAGATATAAGTTTTGTTTCAGTCATCTTAATCTTACGCATATAGAACTTCTTTCGGATGTATTGATCTTGGTTCTGCTTGTTTAACCTTAACCTTTAGCAGATAGAAATTCTTTCATTACAACATTGATATTAGTTTTGATTCTTAACCTTAAGTTTCTATGTTTGTATCTTATATAGAGGTTAAATTAACCTTTTATTCTCTGCTCACTGTTTTTGTTACTATATGCTTAAACATGAATCAAATTCATTGTGCAGAAGGAATCACCGATCGGGTTAGCCACTGAATCTGCCCATCCAGGTGAGTCTAGCTTTAAAAAAACCTTTGTGTTTCTTTACACTTTGATTCTTTCGTTGAAGAAAAAAACTATTGAGTTTAAACCAAATCTTTGTGCTATTTGCAGCCCGATTCTCCCCTGACGATAAATACTCAAAGCAGAGAGTTTTGTTGAAGAAGCGGTTTGGTCTCTTACCGACCCAGAATGCACCTGTCAAGTACTGAGAAGACTTGCTTTTGTTTTGGTTTTTATGTTCCTCTATCGCTATGTTGTCTCTTAATGTTGACTTGAACCGTCTTTGTATGTCTCCAGATAGTGAGTTAAGAGCATTTTACGTATTATCATCTTTGTGAACCTTAAATAATAAAGAATTCTAGAGTGAGTTATTTTCAAGAGTGCCCAGTTTGATAAATTAAATACTTTCGAACCGAAATTGGTTGACAAAACGTTACAAAGCATTAGCATCGTCTATGTAATAAAATATTCACTTACCCTCTCAAACATAGAAAGGAACTGTTGTGTCATTGTATTAGACCATACACATAAAACCATTTGAAAGTTTCAAGCAAAAACTAGAAGCCTCCTCCATGTTAGAAGACAAGTAAAGCTAATCAACCTCTACAATTTGTGCGCACTGCACTTGTATACGTGCTCTCTTCTTGTTTCTCTTAAAACTTGAATGACAACCTCGCTTCCATTTTTTTTCTTTCTCCGCCACTACTGCCTCGTCCTTTCCAGAATATGACTTGATCCTAACAGCTCGGACTTGCTTTGTGTCTGACCTCAAAGGCATCAACTCTGGCGGTTGATTAGCTCCGCAGATACGCCCAAAATAGTATAGAGGCTCAACATAACATGATGACGAAACCACAATTCCTTTCATGCTCTTTGGCTTCACGAGTTCTATAAACTCTCCAATCTCCTCATAGCACGAATGATCAGAGTACTGCACCGAATACATAAAGTCATGGAACTGATGCACCGCCGCTTGTAGTTCTTTCTGACCACGAATGGTTTCATACTTAGTTGCAGCTAAAAGAGAACCAGAGAGTTTGCCATCTCCTTTGAGAGGTCTTTTCACCCATGGGAGTCCAGAAGGCATGATGCCAATGGTTGGGCACATCAAGTTCAACCCCTCGAGTGTCTGAATGCTAAAACTGTACCGAGGGACAGCTCGTACTCTTGTAAGAGATGTATCAGTTGTGAAAATGTCTTGGAACCCAAGGAGATGCATGGTACGCAGTCGCTCTGGCCAAACCCAAATCTACGGACAGACAAGATACATCAACTGTTAATCCATTTGTGTGAGTCAAAAGATTTCTCTCAGTACAGGATTTCAACAGAAAGAAGGATACTCATGACACATATTGAAAACTGAAGAAAACCGAACCTTGATATTCAAAATGCGAGAAACATGAACAAGAAGGTCTTCCTTCCCCAAAGTGTCAACTCCTATGATGATATCATGCGAAGGATGAGAGGCGATTATATCAGCAACCTGCAAGGAAAGAGATGAATGATATCAATAAGAGAAAGGCAAATGGGAACTACTGGGAAATGTTCAAGGAGGCGAACCAGACGTGCAGCGACTTGACGGGAAGGAAAACGAGTGTAAATCGGATTGCAATAAGTGTTATCCAAGTAAAGAATGTCGACTGGGAATTCGTTAATCGCAGCAACGAGAGTGGTCCTTGCTTCGTCTGCTACAAGATGATCCAATTCCCACCGGAAATCTCCAGTGTAGAGAAAACATCCGAAATCTCCCCGGAACAAGAACATCACAGACCCTAATCAAATTCCATCAAACACCACAATGATCATATTCCACCGGATTCCACACAACACATCCATCAATCAAATACCACAGTGATGATTCGAGTAAAATCACCTTCAAATTCAGCACTACACATCCATCAATCAAACATTTATCGACCGAGAAAGCAAAACCATATGTTCATGATCGTACCGGGACAGTGGTGGGCGTCGATGGCCATGAACTGGAGGCGAACTTCGGAGCCGGAGGAAGGAGATCGGAGAGAGAGAGATCGCCAGGAAGAGAGAGGGACGACGCGAAGCAAGGAGAGGTCGAATCCGGGGAATCGGGAAGGAAACAGAGAGGCGGTGGTGCGGGAACAGTAGAGAGGACCATGGGACCAGTCGCCGGAGAGGCCGCGAGTGTGATCGGAGTGAAAATGAGTCAAGAAGTAAGACTGACTTCCATTTCTCCACCGGTCCACCGATATCAGACCACTCTCCATTTTTCCGATCTGATTGTTTCCCGTTCGTCGGATTTTCTTTTTGTGGGCCATTGAAGATATTCATTATTGGGCCTATTTATGAGTTGGGTTCACAATATGTGAAATTTCAAAAAAAAAAATGAAATTAAAGATGCAGTTAAAATAAAGGGACAGTATTTTTCTTACTAACGAAAGATGGCAGCTACGTATGAAATTTACGGTAAAACAATACAATCAGCTTAAAAATGAACATTATACAATCATCATGGATTGTTTTTATTCTAGATAATCGATAATGATTTTTTTTTTCATTTTTCTATTATTTATTTATTTATCATAATTTATAACCGTAAATTACATATTTTGCTTAATTTAATTGTTTTTAAATTTTAAATTTATTATTTAAATACTTGAAAAACAAAAAATAATTCTAAAGTATGAAAATATTGTCATATGTTGAAAACTAATTAACAATGATACATATCACAAGTAGTATCATTTTGCAAGTAGTTTACTAATTCAAGTTTTTATAAATATATGAGAATCAAAATATATTAATTTACTATATTTGAAAAATAAAAGTTACGACAGAGATGACCATCTCCATTTACATGGTAGAAGAAGCATAATTTTGTGAATTCTAAAACAAAGTGACTTTCACTAGACGTAACAATCTTCGATCAAAATCCAATTGCTCTTTATCCGTTAACATTATTAATATATTTTCTTCGTTCAATATGACTCCAAGTATAACAACACTTAATGCTTGTTTCATGTAGGCCAATACCTCCCGCGGATTTTTTTTTTACATATTCATCATACATCCTGATTTTCTTTTTTTATAAATATATATATTTTCTTCTAATTTTTCAGATATATATGAATATTCCGATGAGAAAAAAGTGAATTCTAAATTTAAAAGTTGCAGGAAAATAGTACTTAATAAATCTCAGTAACTTGAAAGATAATAACGAACAATTATTATTGTAGATGTTGCAACAAAAAAAAACAAATTTGAGCATGATCTAAAACTTTGTAGAGCTTAAGTATTGACTTTCCAATTCTAAAAGAATTAATTAAAAATAGAAAAATAACTGAAGGGAGTTTATTGATGGTACTTGCAAGTAACACTTATACAACGAAGATCAAGTAACACTTACTCCCCTCCTTTGCCAATGTTTTTTTCTTAACGATTAAACAATTTTTTCCAAGACAATAAAAGAAGTGAGAGATAATTCATGAGCGTAGAAAAACAACATTGACGACAATGTTATTCAAGTTCCTCTATACTTGCATATTTTTGGCTTCTTCTCTAACATGATAGTTCCTCCATTGAGGTCGTCCATTACATGTAAAACCCTTAGATCTTATGACAATCAAAGCCTATGTTTTTTAGACTGGAAAATCATTTCTTTTATAAGTGCTTAGATCATTGAGATTCTAATCAGAAATGACGATGTATAATGTTACCAACGATAAAAGTTCACTTTTCTCGAGTCTTCTTTAATGTATCCTTGATCAAATATCATCTTCCATCAATGGATAGATCTTCACTTGCTCAAGGTGAGGATTCTATGAGCAAGTTTATGAGAGAAGGACCAAATTGTTAGCTACTAAATATCAAAAATTATATCCAACTATTATACACTGATTTAGGTTGTCATCAATTTGGATATGACAAACCAATAAAATTCAACGCACCAAAGGTTGTCATCAATTTGGATATAACAAAACAATTAAACTTAACGCACCAAACATAGAAAAGGAGATGAAGCATTCCGGTAGAGAAGAATAATAGACAAATGTTTTATTTTGATAATTTAATTCGAATTTTGATATTTAAAGAGGAAAACTTAAAAAAAGACACGTGTCACATAGAAAGAGAGGGTTCATCTCCTTTCATATATATAATTATAAGTATATTTTCTTTTTGCTATCATCTAATTGAATTTATAAAATCACCGTCTTAAAAGATCACTAGGATATTAGGTGTCTCAAAAATTCTAGAGAAATTTCAAAAAATGCCACATTTCAAGTGCCACTTTACAAAAATGCCACATTTTCAAAATCTTTGCAAAAATACCACTTTTTCAGAAATTTTTTTGCATTATATCATTTATGTTTGGGTTAACTATGTTGTATTAGGGTTTAATTTTGAAGGTTTAAGGGGGTTTATGGGTCAAAACATTATTTAGGGTTTATAATTTTAAGATTTAGGCTTTAAAAATCTATAATTATTGGCATTTTTGCAAATGGACATTCCTAATAGCATTCTTGCAAATGTACACACCAAAAGTGACATTTTTGCAATTGTCCCAAAATTCTGTTATTCTTTTGTCTCATAATTTCTTGTGAAAAAAGAAAGAAAATTTTAATATAAAGATAATTAAGAGATCAAACTTTTAAAAAGCAACTAGATGAAAGGAAAAAATTTCAATCCTATTAAAAAAAAAAAAAGATAATCGAGAAAAAGTTTAAAAAGGCAATGAGATAAAAAAAAATCTATCATTTTTAGAAAATAGAATCAAGAGAAATATCTTTATTTTAATCAATATTTATCTATATTATCTCCTTTTCTCATATTTTTTTGAGAAAAGAAAAAGATAAATTTATTATCTTCAACACAACTGAAAGAAAAAATATAATTGAGAAAAAAACTTAAAAAGAACAGTTGAGAGAAAAAAAAATGTTTATCATTTTCAAAAACGGCAACTAAGAAGAAAAAGAGGTTTATCATTTTCAATCCCATTGAAACCAAAAAACAATTGTAAGAATTTTTTAATCTTAGTGAAATACGTATCCGATATATATCTTCTACTCATAATTTTGAGGAAAAAAAAATTATCATTTTCAACCCAATTGAAAGAAAAGAATACAATTGAGAAAAAAAACTTTGAAAAGATAGTTGAGAGAAAAAAAAAAGTTTATTATTTTCAAAAGTAGCAATTGAGAGAAAAAATTGTTTTACCATTTTCAATCCAACCGAAAGATTAAAAAACAATCGAGAGAAAATATTTATTCTCACGATGAGCAAATCCATCAACAAAACTTCTTCTTCCTTTAAATCCAAAAAAATTTCTACTTTTTCTAAAGTGCATAGGGTCAAATGCGTTATGGATTACGAGTGCTGCAAGGTCCGTGAAGGCTATATTGTAGCAAACCTTAAAAGTTAAATACAAGTTGTTGTTCATTCAACTGATCATAATTTGTGATAGATGGAAATATTTTCGCTGTTGAGCCTAACTATGAGAATACATACCAGCACATTACCTCACGCCTCATGAATTCGAAGTGAATAACATCGCGCAAATTTATAAGTGATGTGATAGTGACACTGGTTGTGATAATTTTGTTGTTTGGTGATCTTCGAGATCCAATTGGTAAATTTTTGTTCTCTCAATTGGGTTTATGCTTTGTCAATTAGGTTAAAAATTGATTAAAATTTCTTATTTTTATAGAAAAAGTTATGCGCAAAACAGACATGACATATATGTATTACGTTGAGAAGATGTATCTGCTAGAAAAAAGATGTAGCATATATGTATTGTGTTAGTGAAATACTTGTCCGAAATTTTTTGGAATTTCTCGTTTTCTCATAATTTTTTTTTGTGAAAAGAAAAATAAAAGTATTGAAAGAAAAAAATACAATTGAGAGGAAAAAAAATCCCATTTGACATAAAAATACGTACTAAATTATATTTTACGTATATTTATTGTAGAACCATATAAAATATTCTTTATTCTTCTTTTGTGGAATAGAAAAATATACCTAGAATTTTT